CTCTCTGACACTCACACTGGTAAGAGTTATACTTTCCAAATATGTGATCCACTTCTATAAGCAACTAAAAACCCTGCAGCTTCAGTCACACTCTTCAAGCAAGAATAAATGACCTTACATCAATCCATTTTCACAATACCTGGCGCTTGTAGAATGGGGGAAAGAAATGAGATAAAAAAAGATAAACAACAGGAATTGTGAAACCTAGGCTGTTTTAATCTGAGACTGCACTTTACATGTAAAAATAGAAAAACACATTTTGTTCTGCATGCCTTAATGTTTTACAAATCTGAGATTATTAAAAGCAAAAGAGTATGTAGAAAAAGTTTCCATGTCTTATTTTTGTGAATTCCACACTTATCACACAGCTTACCACAAAAAAGGCTTTGTAATACTCACAGTATAAAAGAAGGGATGGATGGATGGTCTGAAAGACACACATTATTTTAATCAAACAGACAGATCAAAATAATTTCTAAATATGGATATTCTAGAAAAAATCAGAAAAAACTACCAAAATATTTTGTTGTGATGCATTACATTTTGTCTAAGTAATAAGGAGCTGAAACATGCCTGTGTTTCTCCTTTTATCCTTCAGAAAAATGCATTAAATGCTCAATTAATTAACACAATGTGATAGATGATAGGGAAACTATGAAACCACTTTTGCTTCCAAGTTTTTACCTAAAACCTAGTTGGATATTTTTTCTGCCCCCTGCCCACCGCGGCCCTGCCCCACCCCGTTTCTCTAGCAGCAGGTGTTGCCTACAATTGAGATGTATGGAGGTTCATTGGTAAACTTTTACAGCTGAGAATAATTTAACCAAACATAAATTAGTCTTCTAATTTATAATTGCACATTGAAATCCTGTGTACAATTTCGAGGATGTAGACTACAGCCAGAAAATAGCAACAAAAAGAAGGGCTAAATATTTGAAGATGTTATTAGCATAGATGTGTGGCAAGAAATTGTTCTGAAATAGGCTCTTTTTCACCTTGGTATGTAGAAGCGTAGGGTTGACTGCTGAACTAGATTAGGGTTAATCTGGCCCAGACACAGAATAATAACTAAAAGATCTCAGCAGGCGATGCCTAGCTACATGACACTGTGAAATAGCAATGAAGACAAGCAAAAATTTTGTGGGGGGGTTGCAACTCATTACAGAACAAATGGAAAAGCTAAGACACAATAGCCTGATTTGTAATACTATGTAACAGTTGTTACTATTGCAATTTCGAATTCAATTTATGATTCCTACCTCATTTTGAAGTGCTAAATGACTTGGAAACTAAATACCCCAGAAATCGTGAAAACTGGCTTCTTTCTACCAGACAATGTTAAAAAAATATGTCTACGAAATGAGATAATAGGGAAAAATGGATCGAAAGAAAAGTCTGAAAGAATCAACTTTCACTATTATTCACATGGGACTTTGATAATAATGATAGTTTCCTAATGTTAAGAAATATATCCCCTTTTTTGAAATTGCTTAATATGGAAAAATTATTAATTTCAGTTAGACTTCCTAATTTATCTATCTGTTACTCTAGTGCAGTGTTCTCCAAATGATGTCCCTTGGGCCAAATCTTGCTGGCCACCTATTTTGTAAATAAAGTTTTATCGGAACACAGCCATGTCCATTCATTTACATTTTGTCAATGGCTGCTTTCCTGCTACAATGGGAGAGATGAATAATTGTGAGGCAAAGTCTAAAATATTTGCTATCTGGCCTTTTACAGAAAAAGTTTGCCAGCCCCTGCCTTAGCACACAGAGGATAGCACTGGTTAGTGATGAATAAAAGCTATGACAACAGAGGCATAGAGAGCAATTCATTCAGATGTGGGAATTATTCACTTTCAATGCATAATAAAACACCTTTATACATGCTTAGCTCCTGGTAAAATTAAGGCTAGGTCTAAAATTAGTGTCTCAATAATTATTTATTGTAATGTCAGTGACATAAGTTTTTAGTGTGGTAGTTGTATAGGGTATATTCCCAAACCTGATGCTCCTTTTTAATTATTGTTTAACCTATTTTAAAACATCTGGTGCAGAAAGGAGAAAGTGATTTAAATATTATCTGTTTAATTTGCTAACCTTCCTATGCCCTTTGGAAACAGCTTGTTCAAAGTCCATAGAGATTTGGATACTCAGAATAACCCTTCTGTATCACTTTTCTAAACTGAATTTCACTACATGCAATTTGGACTTCTCTGAAATGAACCACCACAGGGGTTTGAAAATTCTAGCACAGATTTATAATAAAATGAAAAAAGATTGGACACTGTCCAGAAACATGTGATGGTACTCAAAAGCAGAATGACATTTGCTCAGTAAAGCTGCTAAAATGTTTCTTTCCTTAATTCTTTTCAACATGAAATTTATCTTCTTGTAAGCAGATTACATTCATAGACAATACAGCACTTTACAACAGTGAATTATATTAACCAAGCTACTAAAATTAGTGATAATTTTGTTTACAAATATCCATTGTAACTATATTTTATTTTGTGTACCCTAAGGCCTAACTCTGTGGTACTGAATCTCTATTCATTCACTACCCTACTCTTGTTTAGAGCATACTTCTTTAGGGGTTCTCTCTTGCTACAACACTATTATTCTTTATTATTATTATTTATTCATTGGGGAAAATAGGTGTGCCTTCCCAGGAAACATGGATTAGAATGCTCAAGCATGTGTGTGTAGATGGAAAAATTTCTCCCTTTCTTAAGTTTCTTCTATTCCCCATTAGGAGGCATCTCCAAACTTTGGATTAGAGTCACTGAATTAGAACAATTAAACTGTGATGAGAAACTATTATTTGCATTTTCAAGTAAAAAAATTTATGCACACATGCTATAGTATTAAAACATCAGTATCTCTGTATTTTGAGACAGGTAAGCAAAAAAGTAAAAGGGCTTTCTTCTTGTCTTTGTAATACTGACTCTTTTATTCTGAACATAGTCTATCACTTTGAAAATAAAATAATAAAACTTGGAGGCCCAAAAAGAACTCTATCAGGTCATCTTGTCTATTCCGCTTGAATCCAGAAAGGCTAAATGTTAATATATCTTATTTAACTTGATCTGCTATTTTGAAAGCTGTCTTGCATCCAATTTATTCTTCTGAACAAATAGGAGGAAAGGAGAGGGGAGGTTAGAATTTTGCCCAGCTATGCTCAACAGTGACATCAAGTCAGATGGCACCAACTGAGAGAAAGGACAGACCTAAAAGGGTAAGAAGGGTTGGAAGACAGTTTGGAAGATCTTGGAGAAAATCACTTTATAATGTAGCAGCACAGAGAGGAAGAAATCCTTTGGATTTGGCCAATAACATAAATGAGAAGTGAGTTACCGAAAGCATTAAATCAGTTCAGATCAATTTTGTCAAAATCAGAATGGGGCTAACTACCTTGGTAGCACAGAATTTCTCTAGGTTTCCTTGTTGGAAAACTTTACACTGCTCAGTGTATTCCAAGTGTGAGTATGCATGTTGAGGGGAAAGTGTTGGCCATGGTGATGGCTCTTTGTGTCCTACTTCTTTGATCTGTGTTCTTCTTGATGGACTGAAGCTGTTTATGGCCTCAATGGGAGTCAATATCCTCATTTAGTACATATTCTGGTCCTCCTTTTGGGTTACTGCACAGACTGCTGGAGTGCTCGATGTGTGGTTGGATATTGGTGTTTTAGACAGAACAGGGAAGAATTAAAAGACAGCATTCTTATTCTCATGATCTTCACTGTGGCCCCATAGATATTTGTGCCCTTGTATTAAATTTTTGACCCCCTAGAAGCTCTTCTTGTAATCTTTCTGAGAAATATATATTTTTAAATTGTTGTTTTATAACTGGCCAGTGTATTGTGGTATTGGGGTATACTGCAGGGTAGCTGGAAAGTCAGTCATTTGCAGGGACCAGCAAGTCCAGGAATTGAGCACTGGCAATCAAGATAAAAATCATTTTGTTCACAGGATGTGAAGAAATGTTTTACTTGTTGGATACATAGCTGGCAAAATTCCATTTGGCTGGCAATAAAGGCACATACAGATTTGAAAGTCCTTAAATGGTGCATGCCCAAATCAGTTGACATTCAGGTAGATTTCTCTGGAATTGTGATTGAGATGTAAGAGATTTAGAAATAAATATGGAAGGTCAGAATAAGGTACAGGATGGAGACTAACAGGTATATTTTTGTTGAAAAATTCACCCTTGACTAGTTGATAGCTTGCCCCTTGGAAATACTGAGGTGAATTAATTAAGATATTTCCTGTGAGATTAGGTCAATTTTTCCTTGACTTGAATGATTACAATTTGTACATGTCTCATCTTCCATCTTGTCATTTTTTGTAGCTCTGAAATAAAGAATTCTCAGAGGATTGAAGAAATTTGGGAATATGTTCCACACTGTCCAAATGAGACTCCCTCAGGGTTGATTCCTTCAAGACATTTTAGTGGAGCAGAAAGTAATTTTAATTAAGATCTTCTTAAGCTTATAAGCATGATAAATCTGCTTCAAGAAGAAAAAAGGATATAGGATTGCAAATAAAAAGAAAGAACTCATATAGGTAATTTTTTCTCCATCTCTAATCTTAGAAATCTAAGCAGATCTTTCTTTGGAAGATGAATAAAAATGAACAAAATTAAAATTAATAAATACATTCAAACCATTATTAATAAATGATAACCTCTCATTCACACTTACAAAAAGCAGGGACACCTAAATAAAAAATTGAATTCCTTTGAAATTTCTATAATCAGGTCCAATTACCTAGTTATTTTCAGACTCTGGGAATCTCTTGTCACTGGAGCCAAAATATGCAAATTTCTTTGAGGAAACAAGTATTCACCACATATATACATTGCCTAAGTGATGCATACACAAACTTAGGAGTTCTGGACCTTTCTTTTCTATCACTCAGATGACAATGCTGCTGGCTTTTGTCGTTTTAAGAATTTGGAGTCATGTAATACAGGTTGGAGCTCAGGAGGGTGACACTGACCTGATGCAGGTGCCATTGTTTTGGCATAGACGACGAGCACACCAAGGGACCTGGCAGTTCTCAATGTTCTTTCCACGTCGTGCTTCATCAATGATGAAGAATTCTTTGTTGTTTACTTGAAGATCTCGTATACAGCCTTTGAACCCATAAATATGGCCCACGTTTTTATGGATCTTAACATTCGCCGGGATATGGCCAAGGAACATTGATTCAAAATATATCTGTAGGAAAAGTAACGACAACAAAATCTTACTATATGGTGTTGTCAGATTATGTGGGAAAGATCTAGGATGTTTGCTTCTGTAATTGGATGTTTTAATATATTTTTCTGTGTAAAACAGGTTGCTATTGTTGACTAGTTTTGTCACTTCTACTAGGCGATTTGATAAGTTACTTTAAAAAAGGGTC